AGTAGGCAAATGCCATTCCATGAGATGGTGCGGAAGCACGTCGCAATTGTTTTGACTTCTTAATTCGTATCCCCTCATGATCAAGATCGGAAATTACATCATCTTTTTCAACCTCAGGGCAACGATGATGCGTTGGATCAACGTTGAATTTGACAACGTGCACCCCTGGTCTCGTAAGCTCCGAATCATATTTATGCGAATCGGACGCTTTTGGAACTTTGCTGTGTGCCCGCGCCAAATGATTCGAATGACACGCGTTACCTAACTGCATTAATGAAGGGGAAGGAAATTTTGTGTTGATACGAAGGTTGGGATAGTCGTCTCTCAACTTTCTAAGATTCTTCGTTTTTGCGGCGGTATGAGAATCGGGATCGGGTTCAGGACTAGCAAAGGTACGTAAGGTGTTATTTAAAATTTCCAAATCATGAGTATCATGTAATTGCGCCCAAGTACTCATCGTTGTTTAGTCAAATAAATAAAATAATTGTAGAAAATAATAATAATAATAATAATAAGAAAATAGAAAGTCGTGTGTATTGAGGAGTGAATTATGTTACTCGCGCGCACACGAAATGAGATGTCAAAGCTGTTTTTTACTGCGTTCGCCAAAGATAGTCGTGTTCAGTAGAAAAAAAAGAAAAAAACTGTTTGATGCACCCAACCCGGGGATATTTATATATATATAGTTTTTTTTTTATTATTATTATTCTATAAAATCAAGTGATTGTTTGTATAGTAAACCAACTGTCTGAAACAAAAAAAAATTAAATTATGTCAGCAGCAGTCTCTTTGTTTAAACGAAAAACAAAAATGATGACAACGTTGACGCAAAACAAAAGGCTACCACTCCTTTTATATCAAGGCGATGATATCATTAACGTAATCCGCCGGGAAAATTTAAAAATACACACTTACTATTATTATAGGACACCCTATTCTATACTTTTTAGGGGTTTGATTTTTTTTCTTTTCTCCCAAGGTCGTCTCAAAGTTTGGTCCGTACTCGGGTGTACTTTGTGAGCCGGTGAGTGTTTTTTTCTATATCCACGTTATAGGAGTAACAGCAGCGCGCAAAATTCAGTTATGAAATCTCTAGGAAATTTCGTTAACAGTTCTAGCAATTCGTAAAGAAATTATTGCGACTGAAATCTCCCACAATTTCTTTTTAAAAAGAAAAAAAAAATTCGAGTGTCGAGTTCTTAAGGTGAGGAAAAAAAAAATTTTTTTTTTTTCTGAAAGGATGAATGATAAGCCAAGGTCATTTATATATAGGATGATAAGAAAAAGACCACAATTTTTTAAAATAACGTGTATAAAAAAAAAATTTTTTTTTTTTTTTTTTTTCATAAAATAACATAATTTTGAATTTTGAATTGGTAGTCTATCGATTTTTCGGAAATCGGGAATAGGGAAGTTGCGGGAATCTCTGCATATTAGCGCTATTAGGACTCTGCACTAATTATCAACGTTCAATCGGTGCATGTATATTTGTTTTTGACAAGAGATAATGAAGATCAAAAGAGATGATTTTATTGGCTAGTGATGGTAACGCATAAATAGCTTTGATCGTGAGGGGATACGAATTAAGAAGTCAAAACAATTGCGACGTGCTTCCGCACCATCTCATGGAATGGCATTTGCCTACT